AGCCTCAGCCAGCAGATCCCGCTTTAGCTGCTGAAGATAGGACGCTGAACACTTGGAGAACGCAGCCTCCAAGTCGATCTGCTAAACTAAGTCAAGAGGCAACAGGTGGCGTGAGAAAAGGGGAGAGAGTAGAGGGCTTGTACGAGTTGATGGTTGAACGTCAAGGAATTGGATGTAGTTAGCGTGCCAAGGCCCTTTAGGCTTCGCGCCTCCGGGCGAAATAAATTCCATCCATCCATCCATCCTGCCAACTGAGCGGTGATCTACTGGGTTTGCAACAGCGCCTGGTTTTCCAATCTCTCCATGACCTTCGTCTGGTTTTGGAGGATTTCTGTGGAAAATGGCCATCATAGGGTTGTCCGCAGCACCAGCGGTGCCAGCAAGAGCCGAAGGTACCGGAGTATTGATCACGACCACGTAGGGGTATGATTGTTGAGATTGAGTTGATGACGCTTTTGCTTGTTCAATCGGTGATGGAAAAATCGTCAAAGTAGTGATCAATTATTCCTCAGCCAGCTCCTGGGAGCGCCGAGGGCTCATAACCTGTCGGGAGGAGCGCAGTGGGTAACGAAGCTGGTGATATTCGTCATGGCGTTGTCACTATGCTTCTTCTTGTTCTTGTTGTTGTTGATGGAAAGGACATACTAGGTAGGAAGGTTGTTTACGGTAGTACGCAAATAAAGATTACTTTCCAAGTTCGATTCCTGCGTGTCGACTGTATGTAACAACCAGCTCCAGTTGACATTGCCTCTTGGTGTCAACTGATACTGCCTCCCTCAAACGCCGTCTTCTTTCTCCTGTAGCCAATATTAAGACATCTTCTGAAGCAGCACCGGCGTCAGCATCCGGAGCGGCCCCTTCCCTTTTCTCTCTTCCTGTGCACGCCGCTGCTCCTCCTCTATAGCTCAGGTCAATATAGGTTAAGGGAAAGAAACAATCAGTTGGGAATCACTTATCGCGAACAAAGCTGCATTGGGTACGATGACCGGATGAAAAGCAATTTGTGCATGCTCCGCCCAAAATATTGCTGCTAGGCGCAAGACGCTTGGGAGCAGGGGTCGGCCCAATGTCATTTTTACATTGCTTGCAATTGGTTTCTCCTTCACGTCTACCTCAGAATAAATGTAAACAGCCATAGCCATCGCAGCTCAGGTCGGTCCAGGTCCCAGGAAGCCTTGATCAGTTCGGTATGGGAGAAATAGACTGCAGGCTCGAAAAGACGTTCGACAACCTAGAGACACATTACCATAAGTGAATATCTCTGCATTGGGACAGTGGACATACTTGGTGGGTTGCTAGGTAAGCGGCTACCTTGTTATAGCGCTTCTGATGCAGCTTATTCACAATCCAAGTTGTTAACTCGAGGGCAGTTTTCAATTTCTCCCGGTCAACCTGCTTAGCCGAGACGGTACTCACTGCACGTATCCCTACGTGCTACCTTTCTAACAAGCAAGAAAAGAAGATCCATGGGTGGGCGGACGACTACAAAGACGGCGGGTCTCTCATTCACAAGCGGAAGTTTCCCGTGATGTATTTCGACGGTCTGCGCGTGCCCCTTGATGGAGAGTTCGGAATCTCCAAAGGAAATCTATTCTCGTGGGTGCCCGCCAGGGATTTGAGGCCCTTCGACTCCGACGACCGACCCCGAATGCCGGACCGTCCATGGCTTCGGAGCCGCCCAGGCTTTCTGTCAGAGGATGAAGAACATGGCGGGAGCGGGGAGTTACGGGAGCCACGGTTTGTTGCTCGAACGAACCGACGATTCTGTGCCGTCCTGATGCTGATTGGGCAAGATGAACAGCGGACGTGTCTTCCAGCGCTAGCTATGCTAGTGATCAATATGTACAATACAACCACCGGGCCCAAGACACGCATGGACCTACGCCGCTAGCAGCATCCAATCCTCGAGCACAGCTGGTTGATCTCTCTGCCATGCCGGAATCGAACAACACGTCGAACCCTGAAGGATTGGATCCCGAGGATCCTGGCGTCTGCTACTCGGTTGATCATGAGACAGGGAATTGTATCGAGTCTACCCACGATGGCCATGCTCATGAGACGTACCAGCTGGATGGAATTGGAGAAACCCCGACCGGCCTCAGGCGCCAGTCCCAGGTATTTCCAAGCGAGACCTCCGGCCAGCACTCGCCTCCTACAATTGCGGCTTTAACTCCCGGAGAGAGTTCAGCGTCGTCTTCGTCGCTCGCGGTGATTCAAGGCCCAGACCCGGAAGAAGTACAGCAAGGGTCCAGAAGGCAATTGACGACTCATGGCGACCGTAGCAGCGCAAGTGAGAGGCAACCTCATCCGGATTTGTCCGGCCTAGCTGAAGAAGCACTAGCCGCGGCCGTTCAAGCTACATCAGGCCGAGATCCAGAATTTCATGCTCATTTCGGAGCCGCCCGACCATCATCGTCAGTATCTGTCCAGCCGTCAGCACCCCTGTTTTCTCCAGCTCACGCACGGGTCCCCCTACCGCCGCTAAGTGGATTGTTGAGTGGTGTTGGCCAGGAAAGAGCTAGTGAGTGGGATCTTAGCCCTAGAACATCTTTGCCAACCTTCGACTCCCTCACGGCTCCGCGGGATCATCGGGCGCCGCCGCCCTCACTCCTCAGAACCGGCCTCCTTCCCCGTCTCCTTCCCCGCCCGAACAGCTATAATCATGACAATGAAAGGAGCCCGACCGACAGCCATGGCCTGTATTCCTGTCCGGATTGTGATCAGGGGTTCAATCGCATGGTCATCATGGAGAGACACCGTGCGAAGCATAGTATCAAACCACAGAGGGATTTGCGTTCATTGTGACTTAATATTTACCGTCAAAGAACGGGGCAATTGTACAAGTACACAAGCAGCATTTATGCAGTGGGCTGCCAACACTCTTTCGTCCCGCCCGTGCACTGGGGCAATGCATTCTCCGGCCCACTCTGCCGCCACGGCACCGTATGCCTCTCACTCCCCTCCCGCCTTCCGCTTCCCGCGGGCTCTCACTCGCCGTAGGCCTCCCGGTTCGTGGAGACTCACTCCCCGCCGGTCTTCCACTTGCTATCGGTCTTCCACCCCCTGCCGGTCTTCCACTCCCTGCCGGTCTTCAACTCCCTGCCGGGCTCTCGGTCCGTGTTCATCAGGATGGGAAGGAAGAGCCGAGTTTGCAACGTTGTGACAGCCTGGATTTCAGGCAGTGTTCAATCTTGTCCGGGGAGGCAATATTATTATTCCTACACCGCTGTGCCCTAGGGCGTGCCGGACCTTCAACAACTTACTATACAGGAAAACCGCGCCCTCGTGGGCCGGGTGAAAAACCCGTATCGACAATCAAGGAAACGATCAGTGTGCGATCCTGCAAATACAAAGTGGGAAGGCCTCTTGGCCTTCGAAGGAAAGGGTATCAGACTGCGAGCTCCAGCTCCAGCCTCCTGGCCAGACCGTACATCGGCGGTTCCGGGGAGGCAATATATACTCGCTGTTGTTTCCTAGAAGCATCCCGACAACGGTAGCGCAGATCTGCAACACCATCCCTTCACCGACACTCTTGGATCCTTACGGTCAATTACCCCCTGCATCCAGGTGCGGCTCTCCTCGGTAGGGTGATGAAGGGTGCACGTTGCATTGCCGGCCGAGCCACGACCTGCTCGAAAGCACACCGCGAAGGCGACCCGGATGCCGTGTTTGCCGTCCAGGATTCAGGGCAATACCCGGAGCGCGATGACGAGGGCGGGTTGCTCCGTGAAGCGACAGGCAAGGGTGCGGTCCGTGCGGCCCGGTACTATTACTACGAAGCCGTTCGGGTGCGGATGCAGACGACGATGTCCAAGGCAACGTCCGGAAGGGTTGGATGTCAACAAGGCCACAAACTGAAGCGGTCGTCTGACCAAACCAGTGCTCCCTTGCCGTCTAGCAAGCGGCACTGTTCCGCGTCTCCAACCAAGCCGGCAGCGATGTGTTACCAAACCGGGTGCACCGGCGCGTCATCCTTTTCGACTACGGGATTCCTATCTACAGAGCGGCCTCTCGACAGGCGCTGCTCGGCGCGCTGGTTGACTGCATCGAGGGACACGAGTCGCTGCGGCAAAAAGCCGGCCTCCTCCACTGGGACATCTCTATCGGTAACGTCATGGTGGGGGACGACAACCGGGGTTCTTAATCGACCTGGACCTCGCTATCCACGAGCAGCGGGTGGGCGCCTCGGGAGCAAAGGGAAAGACCGGCACGAGGGTCTTTATAGCTATTGGGGCACTCCTAGGCGAGCAGCACTCGTTCATTCACGACCTCGTCATTAAATTGACGCACGAGATGGTTTTGCCCGCGCTGAGAACAGGAACTTCGTACAGCAAATGAGCGGCAAAGCAAGCGGCGCAGGACAAAAAATCACGTTTGCAGGATGGAGGATCACTTAGTTTACGAGGGGCAACGGTTATGATAGCTGACCGGGGGATGGGTAATTAGGACTGCGAGGCAACATCTGGGGGTGGTGGTTATATAACTGTGGGTGAGCCACGCGTTCGGCTTTGCAGCAAGTGCAGGATGCCTGGCCACAATGCACGAACTTGTCAAGTAGTCGATGAAACGGCTGTGGAAACCGGAGGCGAGTAGTCTCGATTGATTTGAAACGTTGTGGTTGAATTGACTGACATCAAGATGAAGAGGTTTAAGGGATGGTGGCGGTTCGCTATGCAAGTACGTTATGACATCTCGCAACGAATATAGGGGAAAGAGAGTGGGAGATGTTGAAGCAAAGCTTGACCCGGACTGGGAATCAAGGTGAAATTGACTCGAGATCTCGCGGCCACGAAAAGACGACATGAGCCCTCGATACCCTCCTAAAAAAACACAACCCGGGAAGCCAGCGTCTGATTCGGATTTGAGGAATCAGTCCATCAGTATTACCAACAAGTCCCTCAACCTCGACCTCAAACGAGACGTGTCGGTCGAGATCACTTGAGTCATACTCCTTGGAACTGTAATCATCGGGACGCGAAGCTGTAAAGGCATATACTTCGCCGTCATCGCTTTCGTGGCTTTCATCACTTATATCACTTGTCTGCGAAAGGGTGCCGCTATCTTCCAAGACAAACACGGCCATGTAGGGTCTATATCCATCGCCCTCATTGGGATCCCATAGACATCCAAGACCCAGCGGGCTTGCCTTCGCTATCGCGTCAGCAACCTCGCTTGCCATCGTGTGCATATAGCGCTCGGTAAACGAGAGGTTGTTGTACGGGATCGTCGCAAGTCTGGTATCACGTTCAAGATATGCCTTGATATTATCGGAGAGACTGGTGTGACCGGCTTTTGCTAGATGCCGCGCAAGATAGGCAAGTTGTTTCCGTTGGCCAGGCTCCAGAATGCCAGAGAGGTCTTCTACCCATGCGCCTGGGAGGGGCCATTTGCAAGTGTCGATGATTTTGTAAATTTTCCACATGTGGCCGCGTGTTTTGATGCCAGACTTGGTGAGCGAGACGTCAAAGAAGCGACAGCTTCTGTTGAATGTCAGGCTGTGTTGATTGCTTGGGCTGTTGAACTCGTCGAAAAGACTCGCTTTCAAGAATTTCGAGACATTCATCTTGGATGCTCTTGGGTTTGCCGAACGTCCGTTGTGGAGGACCTCGCCGTTAAGCAAACACAGAGCGAGGATAGCCAAACTTAGGCTAACATTTTCTTGCATCAGCTGCCGGACGTTGAGTCGGGTCGAGTACTGGCAGCAATTGGCGGTGATAGCGAGTCTGTCCCAGCGCTCCTTCATCTGTCTCTTCTCAATGTCGGCGATGATGCGTGGCGTCATGGGCTCTGAGGGTTTTAGTACAAGCCTGTACTTGCTGGCGGTCTGAAGAATTTGCTTTATGACCTCTTTTCTCTTCCTCATCGTGGGATTTGAGAGTATACGGTGCCGGCCGATACTCTTCCAACACGCTAAACAAAGGCGTGTTGCCTCCTCCAAAAAATTGACGGAGCGAATGCACAGCTCGCCGTCCACGTTGCCAAAGATCGGGCTGCCGTAGGGATTCCTCATGTTTCCATAGAAACGCTTAAGGCCTTCGAGGTCTTCCGAATGCTTGATAAGTAGCTTCATCCTGGTGCCTCCTTTGTAATTCTCCTGAAAGATCCAACCGCGGTGCCACCAGTCGTCTTTGGTAATCCGATGTAATATTTCCAGGGCCATCCATGCCTCCTGTGGGTTTCTGTTACGCGACAACCGGATATGGGCTCCATTCCCCGAGGTCAGCTTGCGCTGAAGGAGGTTTGCGAGGAGTTTCAACTCCCGAGCTGATGTGATTGGTCTTACTAGCAATCCGACAGGGTGCTTGCTGAACTTGTAGACAAGGTCCATGACTTCCATTCCCTCCCGCTTTTGAATGCATGCTTCGTGGTCGCATGTTGGTCTTTTGCAACCGTCGGTATCCTGAATGATGCCGTGTTGATCGATCCAGAGAAGGTCGACGTCGATCGTTCGCATGTAAATGAAGATGCGATCCAGGATAGTGTTGCGGACCCGGGATGGTTCAAATCCTTGACCGACCCTTTCTTGGACGTGGTATAACCCCGCGGTTTTGTCCTCGAATTTTGAAGCCGTCCACGTGTACGACAAGGCCACATATTTGCGAAGTTGAAGGGGGTTGATGCGCTCTCGGCTCACCCGTATAGCAGATGCTTTCCGGTTTGTTGGACGCTGAGGCAGCTGTAGGCATTCAAGGTTCTCGAGAAACCTCAGCACTCTGCTCTGAGTTATTGCGGGGTTGCTCTGAATGCCGACCAGAAGGGGAACAATCGAATTGCCCTGCTGACGCGCAATCTCAGACAGAGAGCTGTTCCCATCGTCGTCTCTTACCATATTGATGCTTGCAACTCAGTCCAAGCTTGATGCGTTGGTTCTGGATTGCAGCCCAGTCGCTGTTGTGATAGGGTTGATTCTCAAAGGATAATGCACTCGTGGGTGAGCGTCATAATAGCTGGGCCAAGGGTGGTGAGAAACTACACGGCCGGGGATAAACGACGTCCGCTGGCGGTTGCGTTGGGCGTCAAGCGGCTCTTGCGGTTCCGTATGTCTATTGGCTCACATGAAGTGCAGCAGGATGAATTCGGGGCTGTGCTAGGTTTTCACTTGCGCGCTACAACACCAACGGCCAGTCGGTATGGCCCATTCTGCAAAGCGGCCGCAGAGGGCGGAGAACCTACTTGCACAGCCACCTCACCTGGCACGGCAGCTGAATAAATATTTCAAGCTGCGCGTGTAATTGGCTATAATCACATCGTACCGCATACACTGTCGCCACGAGAACATCGGCGAGGCGGATACCACGTCATTCTGCGGGCCTCAATACATGTAAAGAGAAACAAGCCAATCAGAAACGCTACTGTTGCTCAGGTTTGGTCGACTCAACCATTGCAGCCTTGTCGTGGCTCCCTCGTCTCCTTCTAGACGCTAGAGCTCCCACAAAAGGCCACCATCTCTCATCTCGACCTTTCCTTGACCATCAGAAATGTCACTCCATTTCCCGACGGTCCTAGCGTAACAAGGTAAGGATGGCTAAGCGGAAGCACTTCTACGCCATTGCCCAGGGAAACTGTCCTCCGATGGTCTCCCAATGTTGCTAAGAAAAGCTGCCCGCTACCATTCGATGGCGAGAAGTTAAACCACGTCTATAACAGGGCATTGGTCCACGTGTACGTCAACGAGTGTCCTAGGGCTCGGTACAAAGGTTTTGCCACATTTGAGGAGGCCAAATCCTACCTGGACGATGCCGGACATACGACATTCCACTTCAATCAGAGCCCAGCGGACGGCCCTAAGTCGAGATCATCCGTCATCCGGCTGACGCACAGGACCCCTACATTGGACCCCGACAAATCGAAGGTCCCGCGCTGGCTCCGCCCTGCGACGATTGGCTTAGGTGACGCCACAAAGTACGGGACTCGTGCCAAATTTTTGAAGGGGTGAAATGCGCTTGCCCTTCAACTTTTTACCCTGGCGTTTGCCCTTCCCCAAAGCACCACCCAACCCCCAACCCCCCCCCCCCTTCCCCCTTCTTTTCCCGTCGACGTCCTGCGTCCAGCAATCCAGCAATCGCACTGTAGCAACCTGATAGAAAGCTTCTTCATCGCGGTTTGTCTTCAGTGCAGTTGAACTCCTCTACTGTCACGGGATAGTCCCGTGACAGGGTTAGGGCTACGTTATGTAGGGAGATGGTCTGTGCGTAGCTCTGCCCTGCAGGGCTTTCCCGTAGCTGCGCACAGCCCACAGTTCTGGTTCCTTGCGCAACTATTGCAGTTCAACACCATACCCAAGACTGCCTATCAATCCCGTGATAGTTAGTTGCGCCTTTTGTTTGCGTTGCGCGAAACGCGTTCTACTTGCTCAGAACGATTTTCAGCGATTTGATTGACGCGCGCGCGGCGCAGACCATCAATTTGAACGACTTTCGGCAGCGATCGACGCGCCAAGGACCAAGCGCACCAATTAACAGAGAGCCAAGACGGCATTGCGAATAACAATACAAGGATACCATGTCTCAGCCGATCGAATTCGGTGATATCTCGAGGGCGGCCGCGGAGGCCATTGACGGCGACCGCCTGCCGTTCCTGAAGGCCTTCTTCCAGGAGTGTCCCTTCACCATCAACACCGACCCGCGGGTCGTTGACATAATCAAGGAGGCTCAGGATGTAGCTACACCGGTCGGGCAGCTGTTCATTGTGATGAACGGCGCCCTGGAGATTCAGAAGAACAATGCCGACAACCGACTCGACGATGCGGTGGCCAAGGGCAAGGAGCGCCTCAATGCCACCGCCGCCCGGAGCCAGCTTTTCGAGAGCGAGAGGGACAGGCTGAGAATCCAGCTGCAAGAGTATCTCAATACGAACATCAACCTGGAGAGCCGGATCACCAGAGTCACGACTCAGCTCGACGAGGCCAATGCTAGAGTGCAAGCCATCAACACCCAATTGCAGACTGTCACCACTCAAAAAGCCGTTTTTGAAGCGCAGGCACGCGATGCCGTCACCCAGAAAGCCCAACTCGAGGCCCAGAAGACCACGCTCGAGATCGAGCTCCAGCAGGCCAGTGCGACGGCCGCAGCGACCATCCCGCTCCCGGCGAACCCAGTCCCGGAGCCACAGAACGCGCCGCCGCAGCACCCTGCACCGCAACCGGCTCCCGGTGCCCAAAGCAACATTGACCGGCTTACGGCCGCGATCAACAACCTCGCCGGCAGCCGGGGCGGCGACGGGAACGACACCAACATGCCGCATCCGACCCCTTTCACAGGTAGTGACATGGATTCAGTTGCTCGCGCCCAAGCTTTTCGCACCTGGAGGGGCCAGATCACTGCGCGTTGGAACGCGCGCCCCCAGGAATTCCTCACGGAGCGCGCCAAGATCATCTACGCGGCGTACATGCTGGGTGGCGCTGCAGCCGACGGCGTCTCCCACGGCTTGGCAATCATCAACGCCAACCCACACAACATGAACGTCTGGGAGTGGAAGACTGGTGAAGCGTTCTTGGAGCACCTTGCTAGCCGCTACGCCACCGTCGACCTTGCCCAGATTGCGGAGGGTCGGCTCCATGAGCTTAAGCAGAAGGGCAAGTTCGCCCGATTTACCGACTTCCTTGTTGAATTCACGAATCTCACCGACATGGCCCGTTGGGACGGCGCATCGCGCGTTCGCGCTCTGAAGGCCAAGATGGACTCGGAAATGCTGGACAAGGTGGCCAGCCAGATCAATACTCCAGCGGACGACGATTTCCCCGGTTGGGCAGGCATGACCCAGAAACTGGCGACCAACATTGAGAACGCAAAGGTCCTGCGTGGAATCGCCGGTCCCAGCGGCAACAACCAAAACAACGGCAATAACAACAACAACCGGAATAACAATGGCGGCAACGCGGCGGGCGGCGATCCCATGGATCTGGATGCCATCAAACTCGCCGTCACCAAGCTGGACCCCGCGGAACGGCAGCGTCGTCTGGATGAGAACCTTTGCTTGCACTGCGGCAAGCCGGGTCACCGCATGATGCAGTGCAGGAGCCTCAGCCGCAAGGGCGACAACCGTGGCAGCCGCGATGGCGGTCGGCAGCAGGGCTACGGCCAAGGCTACAACAACCAGGGTTACCAGGGCGGTTACCCGCAGCAGACTCCGGCCTCGTTCGGAAACTACGGAGGCAGTTACTACGGCAACAACGGCTACAGCCAGCAGTTTGTCCAGCCTCGCGGAGGTGCCCCGCGTGGTGGTTACGGCCGCGGCGGGTATGATCAGCAGCACCTACGTCAATTTGACATCCCGCAAGTCAACGTTTTGAATCCCGGGTTCATCATCCCCGAGACCGGTTCCACGAACGGCGATTACAACCACGGAGTCCAATACTCTGGTCCTCATGTTCATTGGGACAAGGGCACCGACAACCAGTCGGAAAACGAGTAACCTCCATGCGAAGTCGCGCGTGGAGGTCCCACCACCAGGAACATCATATGGAAGATAGATCAGGAGCATCAGCCCAGCTGCAGATTAGCGCAGTTGGCTCGTTAGCGAAATCGATCACGTTGTCTTCTTACATTGACCTTGGTGAGCGCATCATACCGTGCACATCTTTGGTGGATTCGGGCTGTACTGGGCTCGCATTCATGGATTTCAGCTTCGCAATGCGACATCGGGTGCCATTCCGGCGGTTGGAACGGCCGAAGCCACTCTTCTTGGCGGACGGCGTACTGTCGACATGGATTACGTACGTCACCGACCTCTGGTTCGGAGTCGGTGATCACCGAGAGCATCTTCAATTCTACATCACCACGTTAGCAAAGGACAACCCAGTTATCCTCGGCCTCCCGTGGCTATCCCGCCACAACCCCGCTGTCGACTGAGGCAGGCTGCGGCTGACCTTTCGAGGTCAATGCCGTGGTAAATGCCTTCCCCCCAACGTTGACGAGCAGGAGGCTCCGTGCGCGGTAGCTGCCACGCCCTCACCATATCAAGCCACGGTCGAGGAGGTGGAGGACGAGGGCGAGCCAAACTGGGAACCGGAAACCAACAACAGACTGTCGGAGGCGGCCCGCGCCAGAAGATCGAGGCACAGGCGCGAATGGCGTCAACGAGCGCGAGAGCGAGAGATCAAGAAACGGGCGTTGACCGAAGGCCCGCGTTGGACCCAAGCGCCGCCGGGCGCCCGGGCGGTGATGGTACCGAACACACCGTCGCGAAAGCCGCTGCCCAGCCGCTTGGCCGCAGGGTCCCGGAAACCAGCTTTGAAACCAATTTTGAAGCGCCGGCCGCTCACCACGCCGAGGCGGGAGAAGCTCAACGCGGCTGACTTGCGGCTACTGAGCACACCGAATTTCCTACTCCTGGCGCGCCAGAAGGGCGTTACGGTGATGCGGACCACCTTGGCCGAGCTGGAAGAGGCCGCTCGCAGCGCGCCTGCCATCCACTTGCCCGACTTACCGGAAGAGTTCTTCCTGGACCTTTTGAAGCGGCGGGGCAGGCCGGAAGACTACACTTCCCGGCTGCCTACCGAATTCTTCACGACTTCGTCAATGACGCGTTCGCTGACATCGAAATTATGCGCAAGATCACCGAGGAAGATGCGACCAAGTTCTTCGCCAAAGCTGACAAACCCACTTTGACGGCGGAAGAGATCAAACGGAGGTTGCCAAAGGAATACAAAGACCTCTTTGCAGCGTTCCTGCCGCAGGAAGCTGACTGCTTACCGCCACACCGATCGTATGATCACAAGATTGAGCTTTTTCCCGGCCACAAGGTTCCCGTGGCGAGGAACCGGCCGCTGTCACCCATGGAACTACGCGTGGTGAAACGGTGGCTGGACGACAACTTGGCAAAGGGCTTCATTCGGCCGTCCAAATCAGCCGCGGCATCGCCAATCCTACTTGCTCAGAAGCCGGGAGGCGGCGTACGCATTTGCGTAGACTACAGAGGCATCAACAACGTCACAATGAAGAGCAGGTATCCCATTCCCCTGATCCGGGAGACACTCGATTCCATTTGCAAAGCGACGATCTTCACCAAGTTGGACGTCATCGCGGCGTTCAACAGAGTGCGCATCGCGGAAAGCCACGAGTGGCTCACGGCGTTCATCACCCGGTTCGGCCTGTACGAATCCTTGGTTACCCCGTTCGGTCTGCAGGGCGCGCCGGCGACCTTCCAGCACTACATCAACGACGTGCTCTATGACATCTTAGATGCCCACGCAACGGCGTACCTCGACGACGTTCTGGTGTATTCAACCAACAGGAAAGACCACATTCAGCATGTACGCGACGTGTTGAGGCGCATGATCGACGCCGGCCTTCAAATCGACATTGAGAAGTGCGAATTTCACACAGAACGCACCAAGTACTTGGGACTTATTATCACACCAGGCGGTATTGAGATGGACCCAGAGAAGGTGGTCGCGGTTACTTCCTGGGAGACACCTACTACGCGCAGGCAAATGCAGCGTTTCTTGGGGTTTGCCAACTTCTACCGGAGGTTCATTTCGGGCTTTTCCGGTCTAGCGAAGCCGCTCTACGACCTCACAAGGAAAACAGCAGGATGGGAATGGACGGACGAGTGCCAAAAGGCGTTTGAGCAGCTGAAGCGCTGCTTCTCAACGGCGCCGGCGCTCAAGATCTATGACTGGGAAAAACCGACCGCCGTCGAGACTGACGCGTCGGATTGGGCGTCCGGCGGCACCCTCCTCCAACAGTGGGAGGATGACGAGTGGTATCCTGTGGCTTATTTCAGCGCCAAACACTCAGTCTAAGAGGTGAATTACGACATCTACGACAAGGAGCTGCTCGCAATCATCAAGGCTCTCGAAGAGTGGCGTCCCGAGTTAGAGGGAGCTACGCAGCAGTTTACTATTGTCACCGACCACAAGAACCTGCAGACCTTCTCGACGACGAAGCAACTGTCGCCACGCCATATGAGGTGGTCAGAGTTCCTGTCAAAGTTCAATTTCCGCATTGTTTACCGCCCCGGATCGGCAAACGCGCTTCCGGATGCGTTGAGCAGGAAGCCGGAGGATATGCCGGCCGATGTCGACGACGATCGGTTACGTAACCGCAAGAAGCCACTCATTCCGCCGTCGCGGTTTGACAAGTCTTTCGAGTTGGGCGCGTTGAGGATCTACCAGCTAGACACCTCCCGCCATATTGACGATCTGATCTCAGAAATGTATGAACGGTCGCCCTTCCTTCAGTCGGTCATTGAAGCTCTGTTGAGCGAGAGGCATCGCGAATGGCCGCCCGCACTGAAGAAGGTCCTCCGCATCCCAATGGCTGAATGCCGCGTGGTAGCAGGAAGAGTGCTTTTCCGGGACCGCCTGGTTGATCCAGACGACTCGACGATGCAATTGCAGCTCATTCACCGCGTTCACAGCTCATATCCTGGAGGCCACCCGGGAAGGACCAAGACCATCGACCTGCTGAACAGGAAGTACTGGTGGCCGGGCATCACGGTCGCAGTGCGCGCGTACTGCAACGCATGCCTACTGTGCGACAAGACCAAGAATTCGACGTCGGCGCCGCCTGGTTTCCTAAAGCCGTTGCCCATACCGCTGTCGCCGTGGAAGGATATCTCTGTCGACTACATTACACCGCTGCCGTCTTGCACATGGCACGACCAAACGTACAACCACGTCGCGGTCGTGGTGGACAGACTGACGAAGATGCGTCACTTTATCTCGACGGTGACTCTGGAAGCCGAAGAGCTCGCGGATCGGTTCATTGAGCGCGTGTTCAGCTTACACGGCCTGCCCGAGACCATCGTATCAGATCGCGGTTCACAGTTCGTTTCTATGCTTTGGAAAGCACTCTCCACGCGTTTGGGAGTCACATTGAGACACTCTTCGGCGTTCCACCCACAAACTAACGGGCAGACGGAGCGTATCAACGCGGAGCTGGAGCAGTATTTGCGTCTATACATTGACTGGGCGCAGGATGATTGGGTCCGGTGGTTGCCGCTGGCGGAGTTTGCGGGCAACAACACGATGTCTGAGACGACGGGCGTATCACCATTCTTCGCGAACTACGGCTTTCACCCCCGGATGGGCGTTGAACCGACCGGACCCTGCCCGCCCGAGGCTTCCGAAGCGCAAAAGAGGGAGTTCTTCCGCGCGAGGGAGATTGCCGACCGGTTCAAGCGCATACTCGACTACGTCACTGCATTGGCAAAGCAAGCTCAAGATCGCTACGAGAAAGGGGCGAACCGACGCCGGAAGGATGCGCCGGTATACAAGCCTAAAGACAAGGTGATGCTCAACACGCAGAATTACAAGACCGGCCGACCGTCGAAAAAGCTGGAACCCCGCTGGGAGGGCCCATTCGAAGTTGAGAAGGCATCTTCGCACGCGGTGACGCTGAAGCTGCCCGTGAACATGAAGATCTTCAACACCTTCCATGTTAGTATGGTCCGACCGTACCGGGGCGGCACCGGCATCCCCGGGCAACATGCGATACAACAGGACGTCCGAGCGAACCGCGGTCGCGTCATTACGCGTGCCGACGATGGAGAGGAAGTAGTGAAATGGCGATTCGAAAAGATCATGGACTACGGCAAGGCTGACAACGGCCGTTGGCAATACTTGATCAAGTGGGAGGGTTTTGATGAACCGACATGGCAACCGGCGACGGATCTGCGCGGCTGCGACGATGCGATCTGGGCGTTCCACGACGCCAATCCCGAAGCGCCGGGACCGCCGTCATGGGTTCCCAGGCGGGGAAGGCGCCAACGTGCTACGGAACAGCTGCGCGCCGTCCATCATCACGATCATCACGGGCGACGACAGTACCGAGGATTCGGAGGATACAGAGGTTGCACCAGGCACTGCGGGGAGCCCAGACGGAGCGGAAAGGGATGATCGGGGATGGAAAATTGGAGCGATTTGGACCTTCCTACGTTCAATTTATTTAACGGATGGATGGATGGAATTTATTTCGCCCGGAGACGCGAAGCCTAAAGGGAGAGGAGCTCGTTTTGCAGATGGGGTAGTGTCACGGGATAGTCCCGTGACAGGGTTAGGGCTACGTTATGTAGGGAGATGGTCTGTGCGTAGCTCTGCCCTGCTGGGTTTTCCCGTAGCTGCGCACAGCCCACAGTTCTGGTTCCTTGCGCAACTATTGCAGTTCAACACCATACCCAAGACTGCCTATCAATCCCGTGATACAAACGTCACGAAGAATCTCCTGCGTGGCAGAGCAAGCTTCTTCACATTCTCAAACGCTACGATCTGGATAAGTACATCCTCACCAACGTTCCTCAACCGGAAGACCCCACGGAGTTGAAGCAATGGCTCGACGACCGCGGCGACGTCGACGATTACCTCCAAGCGGTTGTTGGCGGCCTCAAGGTCTGGCGCTACGTCCAGGGCATGCATGGGTCGGAACGATACGGATCTCGACCAGCAGAAAACCTTTGACAAGCTCACCCAATACTTTGAGCGCGGCTCGGCTGATAGCTTGGCCAACCTGCACAAGGAATTCGCCACCATTCGCCGTGAGGCCTTTGCATCGATGGGGGTTTTCCAGTCATGTGTCAACTGCCTGAAGAGCCGAATTCAAAAATAAGGATCAGCTTTCCAGATTTCTGGTGAGGGCTTGCAACGCGTTGGTTCAACGCAAATCACTGAAGATGCCCTCAAGTCCAACATCTGCACCTTAAACGCAACGTAAATCGGGAGTCGCGTTGCGTTGCGTTGCGTTGTTTCCAGCCTTGGCTTACATGAGGGATTAACCACGTTTTGACAGCGGCGCTTCAGCTGAATTCTAGCGGACGCCAGCAAAACAAGGGACTGGTTCGCTTAATAGGGTTTTTGCTAAAAAGGGTAAAACGTGAGGCTCAGAAAGTCAATAGTTACATAACTGAGTCTCACTGCGGTCTGGATGTCAACCATGTCACTTCACGTTGGTAATTCGTGCTGCAGATTAAGCCGCAGAATAAGGGAGCTGTCACTTCGAGGCAGCCGAGCAGATCACACACCACTCACCGCCAGGCATCTCAGAAACACCCAAGAATTCGCACTCGCCCAATGCCCATCCTCTCTTTGTCCGAAAGAAGTCTGCGTGGTAAAGAAACGCAACCAGCATATATAACCGACTCCTCTTACACCCGGCCTAGCGATCGTTGCCCACAGTCACGGAAACCATGGCCAATACATTCTTTCAATCCACGATCCCCCTATCCCATAATGCAGTCAAGTCGATCATTTTCAGGTCCGCCGAGCTCCTGATGGGCATCTTCATTTACAAGTTTTTCTCCCTCGCCGCGTCCCGGTTCCGCCAGTTCACTTCGTATCTCATATTCAGTGAGGACTGGATCCAGCGATGTTTATTTATGTTTTCTCGAGGCTTCTCCGGCGCCACCCTCGTTGTCCTCATCTTCTCCATCATCAACACGGCGGCGTCGCTGTACGGCACTCTCCTATGGGCATTGGACTCTCCAGGATATATCTACCGGACCTACAACTCGAGTCTCGCTGAGCACGGGTACGAGCTCGATCCCGACGCCTCGTACGTCTTTCAGCTGTCTCTCGACCCAAACACGCTCAACGATACCGACAAGAACCTGCCCAAGATCGTGGGGGGCGAACTCTTCAAGTACGGTTTCAACACGTCGCTGACAGGCGACGTCAAGAGGGGCAAGCCCGAAACCACGGAACCGACGCAGCATAAAGACGTCGGCGCACGCATCTGGCTAGACGGGGAGGGCTTCTCTGTCTCGGCCGACACCTATGCTTCCTGGCCAGGCCCTGCCATGGAAGTCGACGGACAGAAGCTGGAGTTCCCTGATGAATGCATCCGCTTTGACGGGGGTGTGGCCGAATGGAATTGTACCTACCACAACTCCTTTGCGGCGGGTTTTTTCGAGGGCAATCTTGGGAGGCCTGAAGTGCACTTTGATGACGAGTCATCGAACGATTACGACTCGCAGTACGTCCGCCCGAACCGCATCAACAATGTGTGGGCCATCTACGGCAAGGGCGGCGGGACGGCGGTCATGATGCAGGTCTTCACCGTCACCAAAGGCAAGAGGCGACACACGTTCGCCGAGACCGTTTTCCGCGCGACCATGCTGACGAACCCGGGAGTATTGTTCGCCCGAAACGAGGCCAACGACCTGTTGCGGCGCGCAGCCGGACGCAACGCAACCGCCAGGGATAGCCCTCAGCTGGGCCAGATCATCGAGGACATTCTCCGTGCCCAGGACGAGGGAGTGAGCTACAACTTCGGCACCAACTGGGCCGATAGCGAGCAAACTGTCATACAGAACACATGGTCCTATTTCAGGATCCTCAACCCCTCCAACGGGGACGAAATATACTCAATCGTCTACACAAGCTCGACGAACATCACGCTCCTACGCTCTGAGGATATTGAGAACCCCCCAGCCCCGCTGAAGCCATGCGACCGGCCGTTCATGAACGAGGCCTTCGGAGGAAAAGTCACGCAGACGAACTGTGCCGGCGCCACAGTTCTCAAACTAAACACGAGGTTCTACGGCACCGTGGACACAGCCGCCGTCATGGTCATCAGCGGTCTCGGCTACGGCCGGTCCAACATCAGCTCCGAGTCCATGAACCAGCAGCTCATGGAATGGGTGTGGGACAACACGCCGAGGATGATGGACTTGTTGGTGGCGAGGGGCTTTGCCGTCAGCGTCGACCCTTCCCTCGTCGGCGTCGCCATCGAGCAGATGGTTGTGGCCGTGAGCGGTCTGCAGCTGTTTCTGAGCATATTTGCCGGCGTCCTGGCGCTTGCGGCGTGGGCTGCTTTGTCCTACGGCGCCGACGACGGCTGGTCCAAGAGCCTCCTTGCGAACCTCGTGCATACCACGCTGTATCGAGGCACGGCGGAGTCGAAGAGGTCATACATGGGGGTTACTCCGAACGTTGATATGGTGGTCCATGGGGAGGGAAACTTCCTTGTGGTGGGGGAGAGGCCGGTTGTCCTTCATCAGTCCCCCGAGACGCCCGTGACGCCTGTGGTCCCGGTGCATCAGTTCAACGGAGATATGCCCAAGGAGGCCATGGTGTCGGGGGTCACAGTTGGCTGGGTAGCACAGGGGTATCAGTATGCTCCAGTACCTCAATGAGTATATTTGAGATATGTACTACTCCTAGTCGGATTTGATGACATTTGTCCAATTAGAGGGATACGAGCTAATACCTGTAGCTATGTACGTAGCATAGCAAACACGATGAAATCTAAATGACAGTAGACACAGGGATGCATCTTAGATACCTTGAAATGTGAGATACGGAATAACAGTACATGGTACACAGGTGGAATTGGTGTCACGGGTGGGCGCAACTGACCACTGCGTAACACCCTCAAAGAGGGACCGTGGTTCGAACTGTTTAGTCGAACCAGGAGTTGCGCACATGAATTTCACACTGTCACGACCCGTGACAATTGGGGACTTGGTCTAGCTAGCTCCCGCAGGGGACGAGTGATCACTGAACGGCGGCCTTTTCCGGCGCCACGCGGGCGATTGGCCCTGTGTTTCACTCGAGATGTTGCCTGGACACGGTAACACGGGCGCTGGCCCAAAGCTGCGCAGCTGCGCCTCCTTATTAGCCGCTCTAACTTAGTGGGAGCCCAATCACAGGAGGGGGTTATGTAACTAGCATCCTGGCCCTTTAGGCTTAGCCCCTCCGGGCGGAATACATATCCATCCATCCGTGATGTGGAAAAAGGTGGCTGAGTGTGGCGAAAATTTCGGTTGTGTTGAACTAAACTCTCAGTCAACACAGATCCATCACAATGACGAAGTTCCTGACATAACGTCATATCATGGCACACTGTCTCTATATAAGGGGGTAATCCCCCTGGGAAGATTAGAGAGGACAATTTTGTTCCAACAAAAAAAGAGAAAGGGACATTCTGAGGCTCCCTAACCCACTATCTTGATCCTTCATTTGTGTGGTCACTCTGGAATCGTGACTCCAATTCAAGCTTCATTTCATACCTCAATCTGTTCAATACCATTTGGTTGATCTAAGCTTACTCGAGCATGTAACTGTTGGCTGCCCAACAGGGTGCAGCGGGGCTGGATGGTTTGGTTGAACCACTTCCAAACGGCCCAGGGTTTCTGGACGATGGTGGATTTAGAGCGCCGTATGGCACCAGTCAACCACCGAGATCCGTTGAATGCAGCCATAAGGCGGCTTCGTTCCGATACTTGGAACCCGGCATCCTTTCGGAGGGCGCACGCCAAGATGCAGATATGTGCTGGTGGCTGCCTTGCACAAGCAAGTGCTCAGCCCCAAGCCACAAGATCAATAGCGCGGCTCGCGTGGATACCTCGAAAACAGCTCCCGTCAGTTCGTCTGTCCCGACTTAACTCTTGCCCTTACATCAACGCACAGGCCAAGATGGCATCTGCGCTGGCTCTCTACTCCCCTCTCGACAGCGGCCGCGACGACATCCGACTCCTTACTCTGAGCAACGCGCCAACTCCCTCTGAACTCGTGCATTGCTGGCTTGAGAAGGTGTCGCTACAAGATGTCCGTGACGAGTACGCTGCACACCTTGCCTCGGCAAATGTCGTCGACAAGGTGCAGCGCAAAAAGATCCTGCTGTGGGGTAGTCGACACGGTATGCAGGAAGATTCCGATGGGGCCGAAAGATGGGTGCCCCCAGAGGCTGCTCACCGGTTCTCCTGGGGAGATTTTGCTGCCCTCTCCTACGTGTGGGGGTCGCCGAGGGATCGGCGCGACATCGTGCTCAACGGGGAGGTTACGTCGGTGACGAGGAATCTGGAGAGCGCGCTTCGGGAACTCGCGCAACAGGGCCATTTTCGGCAGCGCTACAAGCTCTGGGTCGACGCGGTCTGCATCAACCAGTCCGATGCGAGCGAGCGGGGTTCGCAAGTAAGCAAGATGAGGGAGGTCTATAATGGCTCCTGGTCCGTCGTCGCATGGCTCGGCGAAGGAGACGAGGACGCCGATTTGGCGTTCGATCTGCTCCGTCACTTCTCCACGATGGCCCCTGAACAACAAAAGGAACTCGCCAGTCACCTTTTGAGGAGTCCGACGCTGCGATGGACGAAGGCCTTCTACGGCCTGAACGAGCTGATGAAAAGGCCGTATTGGTTCCGGCTGTGGATTGCTCAGGAGGTCATCCTCGGCGGTTCCGCAGCTGTCCTCCGCTGCGGCAGCAAGCTCGTGGGGTGGCCGACTTTCTGCGCGGGTCTTGATGTGTTGTTCCGACGGGACATGTATATTGCCAAGGACAAGCTGTTGCAGATCGAGGTCAGGAGGCGTCACTCGAGAAAGGACCCAGTCTGGCACACACTAAGCCTGCATCTCGTGCACAAAGATCTCTGGGCGCTGAGCAGGCAGAACGAAAAGGGCAACAGATCGCCGGGGCTCCGGCGGCTTCTCGACATCGCCTGCTCCTCGGATTGCCGGGACAAGCGGGACAAAATTTTCGCACTCCTGGGCATGATGGAGCCTCAGATCGCCCGTGCCTTAGTCCATGACTACTCGATGAAGACTCCACAGATCTTTGAGTCGGTGACGAGGCTCTTCATCACGCATTTCAATAACCTGGAGCCGCTACGGGAGGGGAACCCGTGGGGCAAAACCGGCACCCCGTCGTGGGCGGCGGATTGGACCTGGGACGGCCGGTTCCGGTATTCTCGTGTCGACTCTCCCGTTTGGGGAGCGTGGCAGAAGACGGACGGTCCCGAGCCCGGGCGGGAGCATGTCTACAGCGCTGCCGGCAACCAGGCCCCCCACTTCAGGTTCATGGAAGTCGGTCTACTGGAATGCAGCGGCTTTGTTCTCGACTCCGTCGCGGGGCTCGGAGCTCGAGCAAACGGCTACTTCGATTGGCACAAACGATCGATCAGACAAGCACGGGGGTGGAAGAGCGCCTACGGAGGAAATGTCGAGACGGCGACAGCCATCGCTCAGACTCTGCTCCTTGGTCACGTCTCCGGCAGCCTGCCAGCTGAGTACCGGCACTCGGTAGCGATGCTGCACCTACCCTGCACCTTTGACATTGCTGGACCACAGTTTGCCCAGCGCGGGTGGGCATGGTTGTCGTCCCAGGAGGGCTACTACTTCCGATGGGAATGCTGGCGCGCCGCTAATGACACGCTGAAGGTGGGAGGCTTGCCACTGCACGCCTATTTCGACGACAACATCCCGTCCCGGGCGGATGAGGCGGACTACAACCATGTCTACGGCGCTTTTGACCGTACGTGCAAAGAGAGACGCCTCATGCTCACCGAGCGGGGATTCATCGGCTGGGCCCCCGACAATATGTATGGAAAGTACCAGGACCAGACGCGGATTGGAGACGTGATATGCATTCTCCACGGGCTCTCCGTACCTCTACTTGTGCGGCCGCTAAGGGATAGGTGGCAGGTTGTTGGTGAGGCTTATGTCCAAGGGTTTATGAATGGCGAGGCGCTTGCGCTGCTTGAGTCTGGCGACTGCATGGAGAGAACATTTGTGTTTTGCTAGTCACAGTTGATACCGACCACTGCAGCCACGCGGAAGACTTTGCCGTACATAGCTCGTTCCAACTATGCCATCCCCCCTAATAGTTTCAATAGTTAAGATCACTGGGTACAGCCGGTCTCAAAGGACCTGTGTACCCGGCGCCGTCTTCGCTTCGATGATGTCCTTGATTTTCTTTACTTCCTCTTCGTTCCTGCCGATGATCCTAAGGCGGTTGGTGTTTTTTCTGTCTCTGGTGACGGCAAGGCAACGCCACTAGGGTTGGTCGCCCGGCGCCCGGCGCTCGCATCTCGTTCTCGATGAGCTTGCGAAGAGCCACTGGTGTAGCCTCTCCGGTGTGTTCCTTCGGCACCCGGGTCATATCTACCGTGCAGAATGCTGGCTCTGGCGTCGCCGCCGACTTTGCGGAGGATGCCGGGCTAGGCACGCTGGCAGGAGGTGTACGTCGGGCAAACGTCCGCATATACAGCCGAACCAGAGGGGCTTCTTGAGCCTCGTTCACGGCGTGGGGCTGCAGTCTGGTGTCCTCGAGCTCGTGGCGGGCTTGGTTGCGCTGCTCTTGTTGCACTGAACTGGCTCCTTGGCACACCTGGATTCAGGGGCTGGGCACTGTTGCCCAATGCAGTAAGCGTGGAAGACTCGTCACCCACCCAAAAAGCAGGGTCTGGCGAGGGTCCCAAAGCCCTCGGTTCTTTCAAGCAACACACACAGAGGACACGCGGTTCAGACAGCCAATTCAAGCTTCATCTTGTGCCTCAATTGATGCAGTATCACCTGGTTGTTCTATGCCTATTCGAGCCTGTAACTGTTGCTGTCCAACAGTATTACCGTCCACTTCGTCGATCAATTACAATAGCTTTAATTTCGCCTGCTAGCGTTAGAACGCGTATTTGGGAGCCACGGGGGTGCCTGGTGAAAAAACAGAAATGCCCGGACAGTTGGTAACCCAAAACAGCAAGGTTTGCTACCAGAGGCGACAATGCATCGCCGCGTCATCCCCTGGGCCGCACATAGCCTTGGGCTTGGCTTCCAAAGGCATTTGCCAGCTCTCTACGGTTCGCTGACGCCGCTCCTCGCATTCGTCGTATCTTCAACTCAATAGTTGGCGACCCTACGCCACTTACTGCAGGACACTCTCAAGAAGGGGGCAAGCACGATGCACACACTTGGCACCCGTTGCATTCCACGTGTGGAAAGAGTGGTTGGTGCTTGGTAGAATCGGCGTTAGGTGTTTACCAATCCGCTCAACACCAAGGGCTCGAGATATCTCTCCGGCGTCAACACTCGGGATGGATCCGACAGACAACGAAAACCCTTCAACCACGTTCTCTAATTCAACTGCACCTTCACAATGCTGCAATACGTCGACGTCAGTATATATGTTTTGGTTCTCTGTAGAGCTGGAGGAAGCTGAAAGTATGTAGTATACAGACCTCAGAGTAGAAGTGCCTTACGTTACAGATTTCTCTTGAATCCATTTTCTTTTCACGGTCTCCTGTCTGACTGCTTCGCCTTTCTTCTCTTTCACTAGCCCTAGCCAGCCAGAGCCGATCTCAATAACAGATGGCGGACGAACCGACCTCTCTATGGATGTACAATCCATCCTTCCCGCTCGCCGTCCTCGCCACCGTTATTTACGGCCTCGTCTTCTTCGCCATCTTTTACTTGACCGTCATCAAGCACCGCGCCTGGTTCTTCCTCTGTGTCGTGATTGGCGCCGCCATCGAAGTCGTCGGTTATGGTCTCCGGTGTTACTCCGTCAAGAAGCCGACGTTGGTTGTAGGCATCTACTAGTTAAAAAATTCAACTCGTGAAATCCAACGACTAACAACCCGCACAGGGCCCGATGGCAGCCACGCTCTCTCTCGTCGTGATCGCGCCCGTCTTTGTCGCAGCAGGGAATTACCTCCTCATCGGGCGGTTGATCCGAGCCGTCCTCGACCACTCGAGAACCGGCCATCGTGTCTTTGGTGTGCCTGGTCGGCTGATCACGCGCATCTTTGTCATCCTCGATGTCATCACGTGTCTCATCCAAGGCAACGGGTCCGGTATTGCGAGCTCAGTGGAATGGGTGGGCAAGACGGCGGACGTCGGCATCTACATCCTGCTCGGGGGACTCGGCCTGCAGGCCGTTGCTTTCAGTTTCTTCCTGTGCATCTTCGCACGGTTTCACTACCTTGCTACGAAGAAGGGACTGGCGGATGTGAACGCGCCGGTCGGATGGCAGCGGGTTGTCGTTGCCGTCTATGTATCGTCGTTCTTGATCCTGGTATGTCTTTTTCGCCCGCTCCTGCCGGACTGATTGGCGATACGAGCGAGCTGACGCAGGAGTGAAACACTCCAGATCCGTTGCATCTACCGCGTGGCCGAGTTTGCAGAGGGCACAGAAGGTTACGCCTTCCGGCACGAGTGGCTGTTCTGGATCTTTGAGGCGGTGCCCATGCTCGTCGCCATCGGCGTGTTTTGCGTCATACACCCCAGTGCCTATCTTGGCCGCGACGGGGCGCGAAGCAGGATTCGCGAAAAGGTTCAAGTTGGAGAGCCAGAGGAAGCACCCACCGAGTTGTTTGATACATTACCTCAACGGCCGTCCATGTCTTCGAGGCGACACGAGCATTGGTAGCGGCCTCAGGGATGAGATTGTCAATTCTAAAAGAGAGGGATAATTCAAGACGTAAGGAAGGACAATCAGTTCATGCCCAGCTGCGGTTTATGGCTGACTGAATTCCCTAGAGCGGATTAGCCAGGATTACTGGGGTTGGTGGTTTAGGGGTGTTTTGACGGTTCCATTTGTGTAATGTACGGTGTCTTGCGTGTTGATCGGAGTTCCAGGTTCTTAGTACGAATGTATAAACGAGTAATGCTTCGTGTCGTAGTCAAGTCGCTTTCTTGATGTTGATGAGGGTCGAGCAGTCCTCTTGAAGCTAGAAGTGAGATTTGTTACCAAAGAAAACACCAGACCTTGGAGACGCGGCCGGTGCTGAGAACAATCAAAGAAGGATAGCAAGGTAAGAGTAGGTAGCGGGTAGCCTTCTTATAGGACCTTGTTACAATTTCTGTCGTTGAAGCCAAGCGCTGCCATTCCATCGCGACCGTGATCTTCCCCCGTCCTCTCAGTCTACGTGCGCGAGAAGCAAAGATGGCAAAGCCGTACGACGCCTGCTGGAAGGCGGCGTTTCCCTGCAGCCGTTCCATGACGAGACCGACCTGCATCGCGGTCAGCACCGGGGCGACGAAGACGGTGGCGGTGGTCAACCAAGTGAGGTTGTCGCGGAAGAGGCTGCCGTAGTTGTGTCGGCCGCGGAGATACTGGTTGAAGAGCGGGAGGCTGGTGAAGCGGTGGATGATATTGATGCGGGTAGAGGCGGAGCTCGGCGCGCAGAAAGCAAGGGTGGATAAGATTCGGTTCACGCTCATACATTCGGAGAAGCTCTCTGGCCAGAATCTTCCAGTCTGCCCATTCCAGTGGCCTGTCGTTTTCCATGCAAGGCAAGAGGCGCTTTTCGTTAGCGACGTAGAAGTCGCTCTCCGACGATACGAGACAGGCGTACGTGTAAAGGAAGCCGAGGGGCCACTCTCCGCGGGATTCCCCGGCACGTATCCGCCGGAGGGCTGTGGAAGGCGCAGGTATCCGTGCATTCTAGATTTCTGCGGCAAAAAGCTGGATCGAGAAGGAAGCGTGGGACGGGCTTGAAGAGCTTCCCCTTGTTATCCCAGAGGAGATGCAGATCCATCCGCTCGGTGACGGTAATCTCCCGGCCCATAGATGTCGCATCATGGCCGCTAGGTCCCCGAGAGAAAGCTCCCTCCGCAAGAAGGCTGACATGTCCTCCGCCGGGTTACCGACAGCCCGCCTTCCGGCAGCCTCGTAGTAGGAATAGGTAGCCGGCAATGCATCCGTGCCGGGCTTCTCCTTCTCCTTCGTTTTCGCAATCACCTCGGTTTCAAGCTATGTACATTATCGTCAGGGCTCTGACGCTTGCAGGTCAGGGGGCTGCTAACGCACCCGCCAGAGCGCATGGTCTTGTAGAGCCATGCGGGATGCGGACGGGAGCTAATTGCCGGCCGGCGCGTCCATCGGCCTTTGGTAGCCGGAGGAAACACGTACGCCACTATGCGTACGCTGTTAGCTAAAACTCGCTGGCTGTAACTCCAGCAGACCTTAACCGTATTACCATGTCATACCTCTACCGTTCTGGACGTTTCACGCGGTTGTCTTGCACGACTGGGAGCGTCTCGAGACGCACCGCGTTGATGATCTATGGTCTGGTCGGGCTCAGTTGTGTCCTGTAATGGTTCCCACAGTTCTATCCAACGTAAGGGACGAACAAGGAGATGGACATTTTCTAGTGAATAGGGATCAACGGCTCTTGTCTCCCCTCGCGCTGGAGCACCCTCCTTGACGTTATAACAAATCAGCCGGGTTGAAATCGAACCCGGGCCCTGGGGGCAGAAGCGGATCTTAGACGACATGACCCCCAAACCGGACACAACCCCAAACCGGACACAACCCCAAACCGGACACAACCCCAAACCGGACACGATCGACGTCCACCACGCCTGGGCTTCAACAAGCTCCTGTCCTGCCACAACCATATAAACTATACTAAATCTTGATTTTCTACATCTCCTCAGCCTGCCGAAGACAATCCAGACCATGGATGATCATTTCCTGCGCTTGCTCAACGACTGGCTCTGGGTTATTCTGCTTGCCTCCCTTCCTCCGCTTGGGGGGTCTCTCACTTGCTTCCTGAGCTGCAGTTATATCCTCAACACGCGCAAACGAGTCGTTGGCATTCTCTTTGACTCTAGTTTTCGTGCGTGGTTTCTGAGCTTCTAGATCCCTGCGTGCGGTTTGCAAAGCCTCCCTCAAAGCGGCGATCTCCGCGTTCTTCGTATCCAACACATCTCCAACCTTGGCAACGAGCGCTCTTACGCTGCGTTTGGTTGGCGAGACGTGCTGCCTGGCTAAGTCGACGGCCCTCCGGATATCCTGACCCTGTTGGGGAGTCCGGATAATAGAGTTCTCCGCGTGTGGCTACCGTTATGTAGGCGTAGATGGCTGCTCGGGGGACCTCGTCTCTTCGACTATTGCTTCTGAATCATCTAACGTATCTTATAAGCGAGTGACCCATATAAGCGAATGACCCACCCCCCCCTGGCCACGCGACACCTTTGCACTCAACAGCACATTTTCCCTACCATCCGAGATGCCCACTACTTTAAAAGAAGCCCGGCTAATCTTAGCCCTCGAAGCTCTCGAAAACGATGAGAAACTAAGCGAGCGAGCTGCAGCTAAGATCTATGGGGTCAACCGTAGAACCCTAGCGCGCCGACGCGCCGGCAAGCCTGCACGATGCGATACTACGCCCAACTCGCGCCGGCTTACCGATTTCGAAGAGAATGCTATTGTTCAATACATTACTGAGCTATGTGCGCGAGCTTTCCCACCGAGACTGCGTGGTGTAGAAGATATGGCCAACCAATCCAACTGCTACGCGTACGCGACGCGCCCCCTGTCGGCAAGCTCTGGGCACACAACTTCGTCAAACGCCAGCCAGAGCTCCGAACGCGCTGTTCCGCAAATACGACTACCAGAGAGCTAAGTGCGAGGATCCAAAGGTCATTGGAGAGTGGTTTACACTCGTACAGAACGTCAAGGCCAAGTACGGTATCGTGGATGACGATATCTACAACTTCGACGAGACCGGGTTCATGATGGGCATCATCTTCGCGGGCATGGTGGTCACGACCTCGGATGGCCGTACCAAGCAAAGCTGGCCCAGCCTGGTAACCGCGAATGGGCAACTGTGATCCAAGGAGTCAATGCTCTCGGCTGGGCCATCCCTCCCTTCATCATCTTGGCTGCGCAATACCACCTCGCCAACTGGTACACCGAGTGCAACCTCCCAGCCGACTGGCGCATCGCGACTACCGATAATGGCTGGACTACCAATGCGGTAGGTCTAGATTGGATCAAGCACTTCGACTATCATACAGCACCCCGGGCAAAGGGTAAATACCGGTTGTTAATCCTCAATGGCCACGAGAGCCACCACTCGACCGAGTTTGAGCTCTACTGCCAGCAGAACAACATCATCACGCTCTGTATGCCTCCGCACTCTTCCCACCTCCTTCAGCCACTCGATGTTGGCTGCTTTGGACCGCTGAAGCAGGCGTACGGTCGCCAAATCGAGGAGTTGATGCGCATGCATATCAACCATGTGAGCAAGCTCGAGTTCCTCTGTGTCACGGGCGGGACAGGCTGATAGTCCAATGGCAGTTGTATTCGTGCTAAGCTACAATCTGGGCTCTATTCCGTCAGGTACGGGCAGGCTTGATTGTCAAGACGTAGCTCGAGGAGCTACGAACAGATCTCGCGGCAGCGAGGTGCAGAATCTTCAACCCACAGGGGCCCGTGCTTTCCACATGCCGGGTTCCACCCATGGGTCCTGGCAGGCACGGCGCAATCGCCGTGACAGTATCCCCCCTCTAGGTGCGGAGCTCCGTCGACGCACTCTGCCAAGCTAGGGGCCAGGCTTCTCGGGATACCTGCGGTGGAAGTTACGGACCACCTCTTTTGCGTTCGTCAGGTAGTCTGCAGGCACCTCGGTAGGCTGGTCGTATCCAGTCCACTTGACGGTGTATTTCAGGCGAGGGCGACCTCCCCGGCCGCGGCGGTCCAGGCGGGAGTCCAGGA